CGACTGTAGGCATGAGACGATTTAGGAGCATCTTGTTGTAGGTCTTTGCTGCTATTGACATTAGAGATATTCCTCTGTAGTTGCTCATCATCTGAAGATTACCCTTCTTCGGCACAGGTACAATGAGATTTGTAGTGCACTGGCTTGGCGCTTTGTGTTGTTCGTATACGCTTGAGCAAATTGTGTGAATTTGAGTTCGGATGAAGTTGCCTCCACGTTTGAGTACTTCTGCTGTAACCGAACTGTCCTCTCCTGGTGCCTTGTTGTCTTTGAGTGAGTCGATGGCCTCTTTGATCTCCTGTTGACTGAAATTTGAGGTTTTGATGTTGAGGTCCTTTTTTGCTGGTCGAGGAAGAGATGTTGGGTTTGAGAGAGTGCCGTTGAGAAGTGTTTCGAAGTACCCTGCCCATTCGTCTAGTAGCTCGGACTCTGAATTGGCCATATTGCCATCTCTTTTTTTGACTTTGGTGATCTTCTTCTCATTCTTTCCGCTGAGATTGTTAACGATCTCCCAGGTGCGACCCATCTGATTTCTATTTGCTGCGAGTTCAAGCTCTTTTAGTTGACTCTCAAGTTGTTTCGATTCGTCTTGCTCGTATGACTCGGTGACTTGCTTGACCAGATCTCGCCATTTTGATCGTGTGGCTGGTGTTGATATTCATATTCTCGTAGAGCTCGTCAAACTCTATCGAATCATGTAAAAAAAAATCTAGAAAACGATATTTTCCTTTAGACGTCACAAGCATATTTTGTTTTTGCAAAAAATGTAACGTAAAAATCTTCACTTAAGATTAGTAAAATGACTATGACATTGTAATAGATTCATGTATTTCGAACTAGTTTTTTTCAGATGATAGCTCTTTTCTTCCTCTACAAAATGACGTAATTTGATCAATAATTTCATAGAAGTTTGTTGTAGATATCATCGATTTACTGCGAGGGGTCGAAATTTTTGGACCACTCGTTAGGATACGGCCGAGGTACGATCGGAATCAAGGAAAAAACGACGGATCCTGGTATCCTTCGAATCCCCACCGTATCCCCGATGTATCCGGGATCCGCCGTTTCCCCCTTGACTGTTTTGCAGTTTCTCGTCTATCAGCATTTTATGAACACGATTAAGTATTCTATTCTTATTCTGCTATTTTATAATCGATTTGTCGAACATTTATGTTAAACGAATATACCATATGTCTAATCTTTCTGATTCGGTACATTTTGTAGCTTCATTTTATTCTTCATGGTATGAATTTAGTATCCAAATTCTATTCACAATTAAATAATTGATTTTCTCCAATAAGCGTTTGAATAACATGTTCACAATAAAAAAAACAATAATTTGGATTTTTACTATAAAACTTTCCCTTGTTGCCATTTGGTTCGATACTCGCTACTTTATTAACAAACTGAATTTGTTTCGTTCTACAGTCTTATGTTGGTTTTTTCCAACTTTCCCCGCTTGAATGATAATCTACATTATCGATAATGACCTGTCAACTAAAAGTAATGATGATCGATAATAACAGTTGCTCTTTTCGATTTACCTGTGAAGGAGAAAAAACAACGACGAAATCATTCACGCATGTTACAGGTACAGAGGAGTGTAGTAGCTACGTTTGAGCAATTGAAAAAAAATACTCCATCTAGAACGCAAAGCACAAACCATTATTGACTCGCGTCTCTCATTGCGCAGCAAACACAGATGCATTGATATTCGACGGATTTTTGAAAATTCCTGACAGTCATTTGAATTATTCAGGTTCAACTATCCCAACAACTAAAAATACGAGTAAGTTTTCCTGATTTACTTTTTGAGATCAACAAAGAACAAATAATGAAAGGGTCTTTTCTTCAATACCCTCGTGATAGGTTAATCATGATGCAGAAGTTTGGTGGTATTTGTGAAACAGATAAAACCTAATCTTCAATGTCTAACGTTGTCAATCGCGATAATTTTTGCTGGTCGATGTTAGATTAAATTTCGATTTCCTGCTATGTTATGTTCTGCCGTAGATAAGTAGTTGTACAAAACCTATACTCACATTAGTCTGTTGGAAAAAGAAAAATATTTACAGAGAAAAATACTCTCACTTCTTTGGACACAGAAATAATATGTAGTATTTAAAAAGATGTGAACTTGCTCTTTTACGCTTTAAATATCATTCATGAGGTGAAATTGGTTTTAAATGAATTAAAATTTTCCTATTGCCAAACGTTCATTTTCATCCAACAACAATTGATATTACTGAAACTGTCAGAAGCTCTCTATTCAAATCAAGAAAGTTCGCACTGACTGTTTGAGTTATAAGAATTCGAATGGTATTTTCTTCTTCATTCAATTCATCTGAACTCAATCGAATATTAACAAATATCGTAAAAACTCCAAGAAATGGGAGAATGTAGAAAAAAGTTTAACGTTATCTTCTTCGTGACAACCACAGAGAATAGACACTTCATAAATCAAACCAAAATCTTTGATGATTTTAATCGGGTCTTTGCTACCGATTTTGGGGAATTTTTAACAAAATTTCTCCGGATTTTGGAGAATTTTAGATGAATTTTCTTCTCAAATGAGAGAAAAGTTTAGTCGTACTTTGTCTTAAAAGCGGAGAAACTATTGTCAAAAATAGAGGGGGATTCCTCTTCCCTCCCCCTCCCGTTCGCGCCGCCGCTGCTACTAACTATAAACTAGCAGCAAAAGACCATCCGATTGGACTAAGACTATCAAGAAGGCTTACATTAGTTTTGTGCAAGTTTTCCTGTTGTTTTACTTGATTAGAAAAATTAATATCTTGCCTTAGATGCTATAGAAAAACGATATAAGCTTTTGATACACATGCAAACCATCACCAAGTTTGATTCTTATCATTTTCAGTAAGCGTAGAAAACTAGTTTTCACCCCTTCCAAATTTTCAATGTCTGCATCGGGTCCATTCTAAATTATTTTTCGAAAATAATTGGAGAAAATCAATCATACTTCATCAAACGCTTTGATCAATGCAAAGGTCTTTTCAAAAAACTTGATTAAACTTTCTTTCCGTAGTTAAATAGATCAGTGAAACTCTAGGACTTAATGTTGCACATAGTTTCGCATCGTACATGAATATAATTTTAACAATTTGAATCTCGCTACAAATAAATTCACTTGAGTTGAATTTTTTTCTCTCTTCAAGCAGCCATCAAACCTAGAAGTAATATTATCTCACAAGCATATCATCGTTGTTGACAAATACAATATTCTTCCGGTCAAAACCGTTGATAGCCTCCTTTTTCGGAGTTTTAGGTAAACAGAATAGGCTTTTTTTCTAGTGCGTGAAATAGAAATCTGCTAAATATATCCTGGTAAAGAAGTAATCCGGCTCTTTTTAACGAAAAATAAAATACCTATCTGTCATCTTCTACTGATATAGAAGAGAGTTTAACGGGTTTTCAGCAAGATTTCAAACACTGCCTATTTTTTCAAAATAAAACTATAAAATATCGAATATTGGTTTGGCAACATTCATCATAGATAGAATTCGAGCACAAAATAGAAAATTCAAGTAGTGTGAAGTGTTCCGACCATCTTCTAAAAGTGGTTCTTCAATTAGCCAAGATTTTACCTAAACCTAATGTGCGCTTTTAGTTCTTGAAATAGTCCTAGTAAGGATTACTTGATAACAACAGAATCTGTGGCAGGTCGAGCAATGAAATTATTTCAGCACAGAGAAGCACAATGGTATTGGAAATCAAGACCAAATACATCGTCGATAAATGAAGAAGAAGAATGGACAAGGTACTCCGATATTGAATCAGAAATTATTGAAGAAGAATTTGATAAAAATCCTAATGCAGCGTTGGTGGAATTAGATGATAGTTGGATTGATTTGAAAAATTCTATTTCAATCAGCAAACGCGATAACAATACACAACTCCAGATAAAACGGATACCAATAAATAACAATGAAACCCTTCATTTGAGAAAAGAAAGGTTCTTTGCCCCACTAGAATCCGATAAACCATTCAATGAGTGGACATCTGGGGGTTATTGGTTTATTCATCAATGGAGGCAGAAACAAAACCGAGACAATTTTTCCTATAGGAATATAGTTGAACAAGCAGCGACCGGAATACTCATAGAAGGACATCAACTAAATAAACAATGTGAAGCAAAAAAGATCGTCGAAAAATTGCGAGAAGTCCAAAACAACGATGAAGTAGACATTCATGAGTGTTGTATTACCCTATATACAATGCAATCATTTCTATACACATTAGTTAATAAAATATTAAGAGAAAATGACAAGACCAAAATAGACACACTTGGCCCATATTGCTACTTTCTGTACTATTCATGGTACAAAATTGACAAAAGAACGACCATTGAGGTGTATCGTGGGGCAGAACTTAAGCCACACATGATAGAGTACTACAAAAAAGCCATTGGTACAAAAAAATGTTGGTTCGGATTTACGTCCACCAGTAAAAACAGAAGAAAAGCTCAAGACTTTGGAAACACATTATTCATCGTAGACATCTCGTTTTTGAGCGGCTTGGATATCTCCCAATATTCCAATTTCCCACAGGAAGAAGAAGTACTATTTCCAGCAGGAACAAAGTTTCAAATCAACCACGTTGAATATGACGAACAACAAAATAAACATAATATTTATATCAAACTTCTTGCCAAAAATAATATTCTTCAACAGCAACTTGACAACATTGATTCTATGACAACAATGAACATGGAAAAAAGCGACTTTGACGACATTGATATTGAAATACTGAGCCAACGTATCAAGAACAATCAAACTGTAACTACTCTTAATCTTACTCATAATCCTAGTTCTAATGTCTACGACAGCCAAACATCTGGTAAGCACGCTGCAGCACTCGCTAAGGCATTGAAAGTCAATCAAACTCTTACTACCCTTAATCTTCACTCCAACCAAATATCTGACAAAGGAGCTGAAGCACTCGCCGATGCTTTGAAGTCAATCAAACCCTTACTACCCTTAATCTTAACTCCAACCAAATATCTGACAAAGGAGCTGAAGCACTCGCCGATGCTTTGAAAGTCAATCAAACCCTTACTACCCTTAATCTTAACTCCAACCAAATATCTGACAAAGGAGCTGAAGCACTCGCCGATGCTTTGAAAGTCAATCAAACCCTTACTACTCTTGATCTTCCCTGGAACGAAATATCTGTCAAAGGAGCTGAAGCACTCAGCGATGCATTGAAAGTCAATCGAACTCTTACTACTCTGAATTGTCAACGCAACCAGATATCTGAACAAGGAGCTCGAGCACTCGCTGATGCAATAAAAGTCAATCGAACTCTTATTACCCTCAATCTTTCCGATAACGAAATATCTGACAAAGGAACTGAAGCACTCGGGGATGCATTGAAAGTCAATCGAACTCTTACTACTCTTAATCTTTCCTATAACCCAATATCTGACCAAGGAGGTGAACCTCTCGCTGATGCATTAAAACTCAATCGAAGTCTTACTACTCTTGATCTTATCCATAATCAAATATCTGACAAAGGAGCTGAACGAGTCGCTGATGCATTGAAACTGAACCGAACTCTTATGACTCTTCGTCTCCTCGGGAACCAAATATCTGACAAAGGAGCTGAAGCACTCGCCGATGCATTGAAAGTGAATCGAACTCTTACTGATCTTTATCTTTTCCAAAACCAAATATCTGACAAAGGAGCCGAAGCACTCGTTCATGCATTGGAATTCAATCAAACTCTTACTACTCGTAATTTGTCCCAAAACCAAATATCTAACAAAGAAACTGAAGCAGTTGCAAATGCATTAAAAGTCAATCGAACTCTTACTATCCTTGATCTTCACAACAACCAAATATCTGACAAAGGAACTGAAGCACTCGCCGATTCTTTGAAAGTCAATCAAACTCTTACTACCCTTGATCTTCACAACAACCAAATATCTGCCAAAGGAGCTGAACGACTCGCTGATGCATTGAAAGTCAATCGAACTCTTATTACCCTCAATCTTTCATATAACAAAATATCTGACAAAGGAACTGAATCACAATCAAATCAAAACCAAC